CTGCTGTCACTCCCGCCTCCGCCTGTCGTGCTGCACCCGGTTTCTCGCCCGGGTCTCAGGCAGTTTCCTTGTTTCCTCCTCTTAGCCCTCGGTGCAACAGAAACACCCCAGACAGCTGTAGCTTTTGGTTAAAGTGATTCTTACGGCGCAGAAAGAGAGCCGGAAGGACTGGCTGCTTCGCGTGGCCCTCTGTAGTCATACCATTTTCCTGGTTCACCAAAGATCCAAGTTGCTGCGCCATTTACTCGGTGGCCTCACTCATTTTCTCTTTCTTTCTTCCTTCTCCCCTCCTCTTTCTTTCCCCAATTTCCTCTTCCCTCCTCTTCTTCCTTCCCCCCTTTCACCCTGCTTTGTCCCTCCTTTCTTCTTCCTTTCCTTTCCTTTCTTTCTGTCCCTTCCCTCCTTTCTTCTCCCCTTTCTTTTATCCTTTCCTCCCTGCAGTCCTCCCTCCCTCCCTGTCATCTTTCTTCCCTCCCACCCTTCTTTCTTTTCTTCTTTCCTTCTCTTCCCTCCTTCTCACTATGCAGCACTCATTTACTAGAGCTAATCAAGCACCTACTATGTGCTATCCACCACATTAAGCACTGTAAAGATAAAGACAGAGAAGACACAACCTTTCCTGAAATTAAGCTTTCATTTCAGTTTTTGTTTCAGCTCCCAGCCAATCTCTAGCATCCATGCAGACACTGACGTTTATTAGATGTGCGGCACTTTCACTGAATTTTTTTTTAACCCTATCATCCAACCACAGATGAGTATTATTACCATCTCTATGAAACTAATGGTTGAATTTAGGCTGAAAGGGTTAAAAGTTCTGATTCAGAGGTATTCAGTGCATATGAGGAGGCATCAGGAATTTATTTGGGTTTTTCTGACTCCAAGTTCAGAGTCATTTCCTGCTGTGCTTGCTTACAGACTGGGAAGGATCCTGCCTGCACTCTCGTGCTTCACCTTTTCCACTGAACTACATAAATACTTGTGTGCAACGAGATGTGAGTTGCATTTAAAGAGTCTGAATAATTTAAACACAAACACTTGTATCTAGCAGTACTGTTCAGAATGTTCAGGGGCATGTGTATTTGTTTCACGTACAGGAAATTGGTAACCATCATGGTGCTGTCTGAAGAGAGCAAGGTGGACAACCAGCAGCTGACCCTGGAGAGATCGGGAGACACGCAAGCACAAGGGCTTGTGCATGTTCTGAGAACATATCTCCTTTGGAGCCAGCTGCAGGAAACACAGGAAGCAAAAGCCCTCAAGGCTCAGGTGATGATCAAAATCACACAATCCCATCTCTTTTTAATTTGAGAATTTTTAACATACAAAATGAGAGAAAATATTCTAATAAATATTCACGTACCCATTATCCAGGAATCAAGACTTCACTCTTTATCATATTTATTTGAAGATTAAGAATAAAAATGTTTCATAAGGTTGAAACATCTCTTATATTTCATCCTTCATCCATCTCTTCCTTCTAGTGAGTACCATGAGGAATCTGAATCTCAAGCCATTATTTATATACTGAGAACCCATGTCTTCATAAGCAATTTATAGTGTTTTATGTATCCATTATAAAATATACATATGTCATACTTCTTACATCATTCTGCTACTTTTTAAAGAAAGCATTACTGCTTTTTCACTCTAGGTTGAAATATAAAAAATCTGTCCCATTTCTTTTAGTAGTTCTACAGCATTTTATCACAGGGATAAACTAACTTGCATGCCACCTTATTCTTGTTGAGGGATATGAAGGTGGCTGTAGGGGACACCAGGACAGATGTACTAGTGCACGTTTGCAAGTGACTGCGGCATCCCCCAGAAGTGTTGTGACTGGGTGATTACTAAGTGCATGTTTAATGTTGCATTTTGATGAGTTGTTCTTCAAAGTAGTCATAGTGAAGTATATGACCCTGTGCTGTGTGTTTCGTCGCTTGGTTCTCTACACTGTATTCAATACTGTGCATCGCCAGGCCTTTAAGTCTTTGCTAACATGACACACAAATGATACTACCTTCTTGTTAATCCTTGCATTTCCCTGATTTACTGGTGTATTCTAGCATCTTTTCACACTTATTGGCTGATGTGTGTGTGTGTGTGTGTGTGTGTTTAGTTATCTGCCATTTTTTTTCTAATAGATTATTTGTGGGCTTTATTCTGATCAATTTATAAAAGTAACCTGTGGGTATGAATCATTTGGCTAATAGTTAATTGCTGAAGATATCTTTTCCTTGAATTATTGTTTATTTTTATTGCTTATTTTTAGAAAGCATTATCAGGTTAGTTTCAAATGTGTGAAAGGCTTTATTCTTCTTACTCAAGTGTAGAATGGTATATATAATCTCTGTAATTAAATGAACAGTTGTCAATAGTTTCTGCAGATCTAAGCAAAAATTTCCCCACCAAGGACTTCAAAATGCTTTCCCAAACCTGTAAAGTGGTGGCTCTTAGTATCGAAGGACTACACATGTTCTATGGGTGCCATTTTATTTTACTAATGCTGTTCTGTAAGTAGGAAGGCAAAACGATAGATGGGCTTTACAAGCCAGTAGCTTATCCAAATCTATTCTTATGTAGACTCTAACCAGGTTGAAAGTAGCTTCACTGTGTGGAATTCATCATTTAGTGATTTTTGTTTAGGTCTCTCAGATTGAAATGTCAAACTTTGATGCCAATTGTTGTCCTGTTTCTTCCCTCCTTACCAAGAGAAGTTTTCAGTTATGCTTCAAGTTTCTGAGGAGATTTTACTCTTCTGCCTTCTCCTTTATTGGACAGTGGTTTACATGATTGATGGAAAGCTCTGAAAATACAAGTAGGAAGCAAGAAAAAACCTTGAATGTCTATATTAGTATTTGCAGAGTCACTTGACTATAAACTCCGGGAAGTGAGGGCCTGTGTTGACCACGTTCACAATGGTTATATCCTCAGCTCTTGGCTCAGCTGATAATCCCTGGTAGTGGGAATATGTTCAACATTCCCAGCCCATACAAATTCATTTCTGTGCTAAACACTCTGTATTGTGTGTGCTTCATGTAATGGAAAGTGACCAAAATAGGCAAAGTCCTTGCCCTTATGAGTTTACATTTTGGTGGCAGGAAATATTTTTATGACAGGAAGACATAAATGATAATGAAGCAAAACGGTGCCCTGCAGTGGGGGGAGGTGCTCCTGTTGTAGAATGTGGTCTCATAGGCTTCTTGAGACTGAACCACATTGGTGACCAACATTTCCTAGGTACAGGTACATAGAACTTCAGAGCCAAGCACTCCTATTTCAAAAGGTAAATTCACCTTTCTCACTTTTATTGGGGGAGTGTAGAAGAGGCATGCAAAGATGTGGTGAAAGCCCTGATTTCAGACTAGAAAGAGTTAATGAATCGGTGAACCTTTTCTATAGGGGAAATAGCTGATTCATGCAACTTGGTGGCTGGGCTGAACTCTTAATTGCCTGAGTGTTCCCACTACCCAGCTCTCTAGGAGCCCACTTGTCTAGAGCAGGTCTTCATGCCCTTGAAATGTTCCTGTCCTGCCCCCAGCTAGAAATTATGACTCCAGATTAACTTAAAAAAATTATTGAAGAGCCTGTAAAGTGCAGAACTGAGTTCATATCACAGAAACTGTCACTTGTACAAAGCATTCCATCAAGATTCTGTAGATATTAGCTTCAACTTTCTTCTTGCTTCATTTATTTTGAAAGCTCTTAAGTTCCTAGCACTAGGTAGTGGGTGCTCAGTATGGTTCTTGCTCCTCCCTGATGCCTCACTGAAGACAAAAAATATTATACTGTTTTCTGGTTTGTATTGGTTTACTTAGCCAAGAACTTAAGTCACAGATGTTTCCTAAGTATCTTTTGGTGAATTTCATTGTTCACTTTACTTTTGCTAGGCAATACAGACAGACACCTTCAGATTTCCTTCATTTAACTGGTGGATGAATGTACTCCAGTGAGTCCACTGGTAGCGCACGCGGGCCCGGGTTTTTTAAAAAAATTTTTAGTGAACTGTTAACTTTGACACACAGCATTTTCGACCTCTCAGAAGAACCAATTTCCAAACGAAGACAGCAAACAAATATGCTCGCCCACCTTTCGAAAAAATGTTTATACCTTTGGCATATTCGCTTCTGTCCATCTGGTTGTTAGCAAAGACTACAAAAGGCTGCACCATTTTGCACTTTCGTCTTAGCCAGGCGTTATCTTCTCTCCATGTTTTTGTTTCTTGACTTAAAGAAAACCCCTCTCTCCTCGGGGTTGTGTTTTTCCTTCTAGGGTCACTTAGAAAGGAAAACGTGACTGCTGAAGGTCTTTTGGTTCTGCTTTCCCCCTCCCAGGAGGCCGTCATTTGTGCAAAAGGACCCGTGGCTGTGCAGGGTGTCACGCTGGCGACAGGCGCTGCTGGCGGCGGGGCGCAAGGGTCAGTGCCCGCCACGTTGGGGGCCCAGGAAGAACCGCGAGCCCCGGACCCGCTCGATCCGGGCGTCTCAAATCCCGTTCTCTTCCTGGGTGAAGAATCGCCCCGTTCGTCCGGATCCTGGGGAGGTGGGGTGTGTGTGTGTGTGTGGGGGGGGTCCTAGGCTGTCTCTTTCCAGCGCAACCTTCGCCACAGAACTTCGAGTCCAGGCAGGCGACGCGAAGCCGGCTGGAGGAAAAGCGCAGACCCGGGGCGGCGGAGGAACGCGAGGCCGGGAGCCGGGGGGATTTCCTCCCGCGCTTCCCTCTCCAACGGTAGCGGAAAATGTGATTTGCTGTGCATTCCAGGCGCGGTTCCCTGGGGTGACCTCTCCCAGCAGGCCGGGGCGGGGGAGCAGACAAAGAGGCGAGCGGGCGGAGAGGGGACCCCGCAGGGAGGCAGGAGGGGTGCAGGGGGCGGGGGCAGTACCGGGAAAAGGGGCGGATAACGGGTCCGCCGGCGGCTGCCGCGCCTGGCCAATGGAGAGGCGCGGCCCCGGGCGCCGCGCTTGGCCGCTGACATTTAAACCGGAGCCGGCGCGATGCCCGGCACTTGGGGCGCCCTTCGCGGACCGGGTGGCCCAGTGCGCAGCGGTCGCTTCCCTTCGGGTCCCGCTGACCTCGCGCCGAGCCTGAGCGGCTCTGGCCGCGGCCTCACGCAGCGCCCCGCGGCGAGAGCGCAGCCCGAGACCCCCGCACTGACAGGTGAGCGCGGGAGCCGGGCGAGTATGCGGGTGTGTGCTCGCGGGTCTGGGTGTCTGTGTGCGAGGCGCCGCGGACATTCGCCGAGTCCTTCTTGCTGCGGACGCGCGGCACCTCTCGGTGTGCAAAGGTCCTGCGGTTTCCTAGGCTAAACCCGACGAAGCACTGCGCGATTGTTCCTCCCACGGTCGCGGATGCGGTAACCTCGCAGCGCCGGGTCTGCTGGGAAATGGGCAGGAAAGGGGACTCTCAGAGGCGGGCAGGACTTCGCGTCCCACTTCCACTTCCCGGAGCCTTGCCCTTTCTAAGGTTCTGGTGCTTGGGGCCACAGAGTCTGCTGGACTCGCCGACCCCGAAAGCGCACAGCGGGCAGCGAGCCGGAGTGGCGCAACTGACCATGGCCGCAGACTGCCAGCCCGCTGCCGTAGAGAGCTCCAGCCCTCGGGCGCTGCGCCGGGGCTGGACGGCCACGGCTGCGGGCCAGAGCCGCAAGGAGTGATGTAGGTGCGCGGAGGCAGGGCCGTCCGGAAAATCAGTGCAGCGTGTATTTACCAGCCCGCGAGGTGAGGGTGGCACTCGGGAAAAGTGGGCTGGAAAGAGCAGAGCCGCCGGCTGAGGCCAACGGGTCTGGTTCCCGGGCCTGCAGCGCGCTGCGCGGTCCTGGGTTCAGGGTCCAGCCCGCGGCAGGGCTCACGGGGCGCTGCTGGCCGCACACACTGGAGCGCTGGCTGCACACTGATGAGCGCTCAGCGCCCTATTCTGAGACTCTCGGATCCCACGCACGCCTCGGCTGAACTGCAGACGTGCAGGCGCCGGGCTGCGACGCGCCGGTTCCCACTTCCGCGGGTGCCCTTTAATCTGTATCTTCAGGCACCAGCCTCGCCTCGCTGCACCTCGCTAGCCACCGACGACCGCAGAGCTGGCTGCAGGGGGCCAGTCCCTTGCTCCAGTGCACCAGGCGTCCGGGTCCCTATTTTTTGCCTGCCATCTGCATCACTCCAGTGACTCCACTCTAGCTTGCAGAGCGAAATAGGGGCGAGAGTCGACGGGCTGTCATCTACCCGGTCCTAGTTACTTTTAGACTTTGGGTTTAGGAAGAACACAAGCACCACAGCTCTTTCTTGCTACTGCCCTTAGATCCTGGTTCGGCCTGGGAAGCGCCTGCTTGACCTCTGGGGTGCCAGGCCATGGAGCACGCCAGGTGAGCAGCTTGCGCTGCTGACCCTTTTCCCGCGCGCTTGGGGCAACTCGCCAGTCTACCACCTTCCCCTCCTCTGCCGACTTCAAACCCCAGCTTTTAAAGGTAGAAATATAACCTCAAAGCTTGGGGTTAAAAATCTCTGAAATGGTCTGAGGGCAGCAAGGCGACCAAGGGTAGGTAATTGGATCTCTTGCTGGAAAGGGTAAAGCCTCATGGCATGCCGTCTGTTTACGTTCCCTTGAGATGGTGCCAGGGCACGAACTGATTAAAACAATCTATTGTGTTCAATGGGTCACTGGGGCTTTAAACTGTCCTGGGATCTCTGAGTAGTGGCTTCCTTCTGACTGTACACACAAGTTAAATAAATAGTGTAAAAAAGGTTAAGATAACCCCATCCCTGGCTGAGAGGCTTCTTTCACCCCTAGGGCTTACCCCCTTCCTTTCCTTTCTTTTCTTTTTTTTTTTTCTTTTGGAAAGGCAGGGGACAGGAGGGACTTGAGGGTAAGGATATTTTTAAACAACAAACTGGTAGAGATCTTAAGAAAACTGGTTTCTCCTTCACCCCCTGCTCCCACAGCCAAATCTGCAAATGTAGTGATCTGATTACTATCATTTGATAAATTGCACTGTTGGGTTGTTAGTATTACTTAATTATTTAAGGATTCTTTAGTGTGTGTGTGTGTGTGTGTGTGTGTGTGTGTGTGTGTCTACCTACACATTTTTGGATATTTGACCCCCAGGTCATTGTAAGAATCAGAATCTTTTGTAAACTGTAATTTCACAGGTTTCCTTTTTTTTTTTTTTTTTAAGAATTCATTTTGGTAATCCACAATATGTAGGAAATCCTGGTTTGCTAGTGTGAGTGGTAACACAGGAAGAATAAATTATGATTATGTCTCCACATCTCTGAAAGAGTGTCTCCTGTCTTGTTCTTCTAAACTCCATCCCATCTCAGTCTTCTTATCTTCATTTTTATGTCTTTGGTACAGGGTCTTACTATGCAGCTTGGATTCCTAGTGATCTTCCTGTTTTCAGCCTCCCCAGCGCTGGGATTACAGGCATGGGCCGCCAGGACCAGGCTTGATCACCAGCTCAGGGACCCCCGGGGGCGGGACAGGTGCAGCATGTGGTACTGGGGCACCGAACCCTGGTCCCTGCGCTTGCCTAAGCAGGTGCTTAGTCCGCTGCCCCATCTCGGTCTTACTGGTCACATATGGAAAGTGACAAGACACAAAGAGATCCACAGATATCTCTGTCCTGAGAAATGTTTGTTGATTGCCAGGCTGTGCAGTATGTTCTAGAAAGGGGAATAAACCACAGTCAACCAAACCTTAAGGTTTTATGAAAGGAGGGACTGTCTGTCTGAAAGGCACCAAGCCCTACCCGCCCACTTCTTACATCTGCAAGGAATTCTCTTGAGTCTAACATGTGCTTTTAGAAAGGCAAAGTACAACAGAAAGATCTGGCACAAGAAAAGCCTTTTTCTTCACATGTAAACGTGAAGATACAAAGCAGATAGTAATTATTTGATGTATAATGTACTTCTAATTTTATTGCATTAGAAAAAAAATTCATATACCCCACAACTACTGGGCTAGGAGGTAGCTGACAATAGCTAAGGAGGTTTGGGGCTTTACCTAGGACTCAAAGCATGGCTTTCCCACCTACCAGCTGTATGCCTTTGGATACATTCCTGGTTGGTAAAAATAGAGAATATTATCTACCTCATATTTTGTTGTGAAAAACAAAGGATAAGATTTAGACAGAGTGTAGCATACTGCCTGGCATAATAAGGGTTTAAAAATAAAACTTCTTACTCCAAGTGGTGGGGTTTGGAAAAGGAGTAAAATTAATTATATAGCACCAGGACATGTCACAGAGTGGCTCTGAAAGTAACCCTGAATTCCACTCACACAGTGACTGCCACATCTTTGTCTACAATTCACAGTCTATAATTTACCTGTCTCTCAATAGTGCTAAGTGAATATTTAATATTTATTATTTTCTAACTCATTTTCTATTGACCTCAAGAATTGCATACAATCGTTATTCCACTAAAAAGTCTCCTTGCACTCTTACAGCTCCTGAGGTACTTAACCATGAGGTGGTCTCCTCTCTGGCCCATGTAGTGCTGAGCCCCAGCCTGCTGCCACCCAAATGACTTCAACAGGGAGCCTGAAGCAGTGTGTGGAGCATGTTCACCCATCATCCCAGCACTCTGGAGGCTGAAGCAGAAGGATCACAAATAGCCCATTCAGGACAAATTGTCCTATCCTAGACAGTTTAGCAAGACCCCGGCTCAAAATAAAAGTAAAAAAGTCTGGTCTGGGGATGTAACCTAGTATAAAGGTCCAGAGTTCAATCCCAAGAATTGAGAGAGAAAACAAATGTGGTTAAGATTCACATTGTGTACAGAATGAGATTTGATCATCTTATGGCTTGCCAATCACTATTTTGTATCTCCTTGGTGCAATTTGTCTGAAAAAAACAACGCTTATTTTACTTTTAAGAAATGTTCTAGATGTTGGTTACTTTTAAAATTAAAGATCAAATTAAAATTAGCCTTTGGCTTTCCTAAAGATTCAGTCCTGAGAAAAAGTAATA